GTTAACGTGCAGCGGACCTACTCCGAGGGCCTGCCGCAACGCTGGGCCCCCCGCGGGTGTCTGCACGTGCGCACTAGGGCTGTCTGGCGTTCACCCACTCGGCTCTACAACTGGCCAATCATATTCAAGGCCGAGCCAGACGTGCCCTGCCTTAAGATGCTTTGATGCATTTCCTGACTGACATTCGGGACGCCGCTTTCGTGGCGTCGGATATGCCCTCGTCCGGTTGCTAACTCTTGTCGACCCCTTCCAGAGTTTTTTTCTACAGAATACATCATCCTGCCAACTGGTTTCCATCTTCTTTTTCCATTCAGAACCGGACCTGAAGGTCGTGGTAGCGAGAGTCTGACTCTCAGCCTAGGTTTCTGCGATGCCCGCTGAACAAGCATTCAGCTTTATGTCTCCTGGTATCAGGTCAAGGCGACACGTTCAACGCGCCTATCGGTGCGTGTTTATTGTCTACTCTTAAACTACGAATATGTTCCCTTGCCTCCACGTAAAGCTTCTTTTGCCTTCAACGAGTAAACACCTTGTGTTTAGGCAGTGTTATCTACCGTGAAGGAGGAGAAAAAAATCGCTGGAACAAGAGCTTAATTCTCCTGGCGTTTCGGATTCCTGCTCGAGCGCGTCTCTGCTGTTGTCTCTGATTATGGATTCGAGCAGGAATCCGAAACGTCAAGCGAACACTGCTCTTGTTATAACGATCGTGTCTCCTTCTTCACGACTGCTTCTTGGGACTCGTCTCTTCGCTCCTATTGGCAATTTTATCTACTACTTGCGCGTAGTACATCCAGGCGTCACAGTTGTGTGAGCTCGACTCAGCTTCCCCTAAACAACGGTCAATCATCGTTTAACTAGAGGTGGCTCTGTGAGATTTGAAGTGCTGATTGTGCCGTCGACGGTTGCCAGAATGATACCTACTAATTGGATGCATACGCTCACAGAGACGTTAACTAGATTAAAAACTGTAACCTAGAGACTGGAATGTGAAGGATACCAGCCTGTTTATATTTCACCGACCTCACATGCAGCAAAAGCTTTAAGCCAATTACTGTTCACCCGTTCTAATTCTTCCATTAGTCAGAGAGGGAACTTCAAGCCGTGGACTGGTCCTGCCCTAAGGGCGCTGAAAGAGCCCATCAACAAACTGATCATAGGAACCGTTAATGGTGTTAGCAGGCTACGTATATGAGCTTCAGTGCGTGGCTCGCTTTGGCTGCAGGACTTTAGGGTAACAATCGGGAGATGGCACCCAAAAATTCCGTTACCTAGAAATGATACCTTTAACAGTGGACTCAAACGCCTTCAGGCTATATCAGCGGTTGCAGGCCTACTTTCACGCACTACTTGGACTTGCCCTGACGGCCTAACATGGGCTGGCCGAACGAACATCGCAGGAGGTTACATGGACGATGGTCGCTGTTACCCAACTTTCCCCATCGTTACACACGTACACCTGAATATACGGCATACATTCGCATTATGACAGTTTATGACAAAACAAAATCACTTTTAAATAGGATAAGTCTGCACAACATGGGACAGGAACAGTTCGCAGGCATCTGTCAAAGACATGGCATTGAGGCCAAACCAAAGACGGTACTGTACTTCGTCTATGTGAGACCACACAGCTCGACCACATACATGGCCTCCCTCGTGGAGTTTCCTTTTCAGTCTACTCCAGTATGCCTCAATAGCATTGCTGTGCCGTCTGGTGGTAGAGTCCTTGAAGTTCTTTGAGTGGTTAACAGAGAAATGTAGAAAACCTTGTGAGGGAAGACGATTATACGCCTTCCACTCGTCCGTTACCACTATACTGCCTTTGGCGACCCATTTTGTAATAACGGAACGGAGAGCGGGCCAACTTCGATCATTCACCTGTTCAAATAAGGCTTTCTGTCGATTAGTATCGTACATCCCGACCAGCCACCACCCATAAAACCCCTAGTACCACCTGCCGCGTAAGACAGACTGGTTTGGTTAGGCGGATTTTTTTGGTGCCATCTCCCGATTGTTACCGACTTTAGAGTGGAAGTTAATGTCACGTTCATGACTTTGAGCCCCCGTTTCTACTGTATGAAAGATTTACCCTTCCGAGTTTATTTTACCCTGTCGCCTCACTTGAGTCTGAAAATAATCCGACAAATAATTGGATTGATAGCCGCAGTTAAGGAGAAATGGCTATGTCGGAGCGTTGCTCTTAGACGGTTTCACCACAAGTCGCGTTTTCTCATTGTTTTTTGTTACATTTCTAAATTGTACTGCTGTTATGAAGTAGTTAACTCGACGGATTGTTCATTTTTCTCATCCGTCATCAACGTCGACTACTGAACCGGCGAAAAGCTGCTCAGCATCCGCAGCATGGAAGCTGTTTCTACAGTAGACAAGATCAGCGTTCACGACCTATTGTTTGCGGACGCCTGCGAGCCAAACACCACAGTTGCAGAGGACATGCAACAGAGTGTGCACCTCTTCGATTCCAGCAACTTTAAGTTCGGAATGACCATTAGCACGGCGAAGACAGTCATCCCGCACCAACCGGTACCAAATGCTGACTACAGCGGACCCACCTCATAGCATTAGACATATTCGCGCACCTTGGGAGTAGGGTTTTAGAAAATATGACGATCAAACACGAACCTGGAAGTAGGACCTACAAAGCTAGCCAGGCGTTCGGCTGACTAAAACAATCCATCTGGAACCGTCGCGGCACCCTACTCAGTGCAAAACTCAGGATGCATGTTGCTGTTGTCCTTACAACGCTCTTATACGGCGTGGGGATGTGAACTGTCTATGAAGGTCAGGCAAGAGAACCCAATCCTTATCACCTCAGCTCTCTTCTAAGAACACTGAATGGGAAGTGGCAGGCAAGAATGCCTGAAAGAACTAACGTCCTCAGTATTATTGCCATGCTGAAACAAATTTAACTGCCATGGGGCGGCCACATCGTGAGGATGCATGATAAGCGCCAGCTCAGGTGGTTATTCCGCGGCCAAGTAGCTACAGATGCTCGCAGATAAGGTTGACAAAATCGTCTCTACCAGTACACCCTGAAGACCTAACAAAATCACTTCCAGATCAACCTAGAGACCTGGGACGACTAAGCTCAAGATCGGTAAGCATGGCGCACTATCGTAAAGATTGGATCAGCCATCCGAATAGCCGCTTCAATGGCAGAGAGTGACCCGCAAGAATCAACAGCTACGAACCAATAAAACCAGCACTCAGTCCCTGCCATCGTGCCTACAATGTTAAGTGACATTCTGGGCACGAATCAGCCTGACTGGACATCTGCAGACCCGGTGCACTTTCAACAAAACCGACGCTTTTCATCTCACAATATCCCACCAATAGCAACATTAATTAGGACACGCCTTTATCCTGCAAAATATCGCAGCCACTGTCCCATCCACCAGCAAAATGGACTCAATTCCAGCTTGTGCCAATTGCGACGGCACTTTCTCATCATCCATTGGCCCAACTTGTCACTTGTAAGACCATCGTACTAACACCGGTGAGGGAGGGTCTGGACCTCCAACATACACCCGTCACACACCTCACATGCGCAAAAAACTCCGAACATTTAGATACCACATAGGTATTTTCAATCACAGGGGATTCACCGCAACCAATGCCTTTCAGCACACGCAAATTTCTCTACCCTCAGCACTACCAAATTCATCAGCGCCAACGTCGCCATCATTAAAGACTCAGCAGCTATCAATCCATCCTGTTATCGCACATGGCAGTTTGAAAGCACATCCGACAATGTCCACAGTGTGCTCCACAGTAAGGCGAAGCAGGAACAGTGACTTGCGCGTGATTTAGTTTATAGTGAATGCAGAATTACGACGCATCTACCGCACTCTACCTTTCCATTCCCCACATGGACCCGGTGTCAAGGCAGAGCCAAGAAGACCGGAGACCGGAAGAGGTCGCAGGTGGATGACACGATCGAGGCCCCACCTTGGCACTCCACTCCACACCCTCTGCTTCACACAGCAAATGACCGAGATTTTAACCAAAAACAACAGAAGGATCTGGGGTGGCCGAAGTCGCACCTAGGCGTGCCGTCACACCTGTCTCGGATCCCAGGGAGTGGGAATACCATAAAGGCTACATGAAGAAGGAGCCATTGCTGCCTGACTTTTAGGCCACCAGTCGGCCACTCCACACAAACACACGAAACTGAGCCGACTGCAAGGTCCAAGTTATCCCGTCAGTTGGAAATCTTCCAAGCCACCGCCTTTAGTGCACCGGGATAGCTTCAGGCGCGTCATATTGTTTATAGTGAGAAAAATGCGCTGAGTCATCCACCTCACTCTCCCTTCCCATTCCCAGTCCCCAGTCACTGTCCGAGCCGGTCAGTTGATAGGTGCAGGGTGCAGGGCGCGGTGGTTGACATATCTACTGACCTTGTCTGCGCGCGCCCCATGCACAACCTGGCCCTCCAAGCACAAGCACCAGGATTTCACTCAACGGGGATTGAGTGGCATACATCTCACATGCGCGAGAGCGCCATAGGTCGCGTTAAGAAGAAACTAGTTCAGTCTTGCTCTTGGCCCACTAGTCCGCCACTCCAGACAGACACACACACACGCACACAACTGGGCAGACTGCGTGGGCTGAGTTGGGGCGTCAGTCAGCAGTCTTCCAAGTCACGGCACTTGACGTAACGTGATAATATTGGGCTCGGATCATGCATGCAGCAGAAGGGCTGAATGGAGACGGAGCCGAGACGCACATTGCCCACTGGCGTGGGAGGCGGTAGTTGGATACTTGTGGTGGATGATGATATCGTGTGATGTTGGTGGGGGAAGCTGTGATGGCGTGGTGTAGCCGGTGGTTTTCTACGGCAGGTTTTCGTGAGTGCATATTTGACCTAATAGGCACATGCGCTGAGTGAATTTGCGGGCGCAGTGAGGGCAGTTGAGGCGGATGCATCGGCTGTATGTTGGCGTTCCAGGTATTGGTTCGCCAGTCTCTGTGTGATGGATTCACTAGTGACTGATCAGGCCGATGTGTGAGGTGATGGTGCGATCGCAATGAGGACAGATATGGACCGAGTCCACATCGCTGATGTTGACGGTGGTGAGGTTGGTATTTGTCGGTGTGTTAGGTTCGAGTGCATTGGCGGTGAATGCAAGAGCCGCCGCAGCGGATGTTGAGGCGACGCAGGAGGATGGCAGTGGGGGTTCAGGAGTGCGATCATTATTTATTATCGGCGGGGGGGGGAGATGTGGACAGGGGGTACGAAGATTCCCAATAATACTGATTCGTGTCCGGAACGTCTGCTGGCATCGTGGGCAGGTTGGGTGCGGTTGACTGTTGGCATTGCGAGGCGGGGGCGGTTGAGATTTGCGAGCTTCGTGTTTTGCTTTGGCGACAAAGATGCGGTTGGCTTCGTAGATCCCTGCGCCGGTCTTCATCGCCCTCCACCATGTCGGTTGGTCCCGGCCGAGGTCTTCCCAGTTGGCCGGGTTGATTTGCAGGCGTCTTAGATAACTCTTCAGGGTATCCATGTAGCGTCGGACCTGACCTCCTTTTCGGCGGGAAACCGTGGCGACATCTCCATGGAAGAGTCGTTTGAGTAACCCCTCGTCGTCCATGCGCACCAAGTGGCCGCTCCAACGCAGTTGCAGTCGTCTTAGTATGACGTAGGTGCTGAGGATTCCCATCCGTCCGAGTACGTCCGTGTCCGGGATCCGGTCCTGCCACCTTAGCTTCAATATCCGTCGGAGAGGGCGGAGGTGAAAGTGGCTGAGCCTTCGTGCCTGCTTCTTGTACATCGTCCAGGTCTTCGCTCCATATAGCAGCATTGGCAAAATGACCGCTTTGTACATATTCAGTTTGGTGCTGATGTGGAGACCGTGTCGATTCCAAACTGTGTTTCGCAGACAGCCGAAAGATTGGCTGACCTTGGAGATCCGGCGGGCCACTTCATCGTGGATTGTCGTATTGTGAGAAAGGGTGCTGCCCAGGTAGGTGAAGTTGTCCGCGGTTTGCAGTTGGGCGCCGTTCAAATTGATTTTGGATGCGACATAGGCAGCGTCGGGTGGCGGTTGATGAATAACCACCGTCTTCTCCGTGTTGATGATAAGGCCGAAGTTGTTGCATGCGGCGGAGTAGAGGTCGTAAGTGATAAAGCCATTAGTTGGGCACGGTAAGTAGGCTATCCGGAAAACGAAAATAGCAGTATCCCAACAGTTACAAACTAGTAAATAAGAACAAAGTCGTCAGCAGGTCAAAGTGCACGTGCGTGTTCTTTGTCTTATTCAAAGTTGTGTGAAAGCGTATTGTAACTGATTAAAACAAAACGGACTTAAATGTCACTACAATACTCCCCCTCCTAGGAGAACGGAGTTCAAAAAAACTCATTGTAAGTAGAAGGAAAATGTGGGAGTGTTATGCATATTGTATAAGTTGGTAACGGTCGGGAAAACGGACATGACGACCGCTGCAAGTAAGGGGAGGAGTCTGTGGGATAAGGGAAGACGCGGGGTTATTGGGCGTAAATGGAGTCTGGGAAATAGCAATTGGCAATGAGCCAAGTGGAGGTTGTTCGGTTGGAGAAGCTGAAAGAGGCTCGGTATAAGCCGCCTTCAAGCGATCGATTGAGACCACGTCGGTGCGGCCTCCACGGTCAATTGTAAAATGCTTGTCCTTGCGCGATAGTACTCGAAATGGGCCGTCATAGGGCTGTTGTAGTGGCCGGCGAACGCTATCTACGCGGACAAATACAAAAGAACATGTTAGTAAGTTCGGGTCGACGTACGACTTACTTGTTGAAGGACGTGGAGGAGTGGCTCGAAGACGAGTCATGGCTTGGCGCAATCTTTGCACATAATCGCTGGGATCCAAGTCGCCTGAGCTTTGAGAGTACCCGAAAAAATCCCCGGGAATCCGTAGGGTGGTACCGTAGACAAGTTCGGCAGCGGAACACTCCAAGTCGGGCTTGAGTGCGGTACGGATACCGAGCATGACCAAAGGCAGATGCTCGCTCCAATGGGAAGGGTTGTCATGAGCTCGGAGCGAGGCTTTGAGTTGCCGGTGGAAACAAACGCTGGAATAAGCCGTTGGATGAGGGGTGGTATGTTGTCATGCGTATGCGAGAACATCCGAGGAGGTTGGTAAGGCTGTTAAAAAGTCTAGACTCGAATTGTTGACCTCGATCGGTGGTAATTGTTGAGGGGACGCCATAATGAGAGATCCAGTGTTCCAAAAAAGCATGAGCAACGGAATCTGCAGTTATGTTAGGTATGGGAGTTGCAATGGGCCAACGAGTAAATCGGTCACTCGCAGTAAGTAAGTAGTTGCAACCACGAGATGTTGGAAAGGGACCTACCAGATCGATATGAACATGTGTAAAACGTGCGTCGGGTGCGAGAAAAGTGTCAATGGGAGCTTTGTTGTGCCGTCCGACTTTGGCCTTCTGACAGGCCAAACATGAACGGGTCCACTGGCGGATATCAGTGTTCATGCTTGGCCAAACGAACCGCTCGCTGACGAGGCGCTGGATAATGCGGATGCCAGGGTGAGCTAGATTGTGCAACGCGGCAGAAACATCTCGTTTCATCTCGCTTGGCACTACGGGTCGGGAGGCACCGCGCGATACGTCACACAAGATTGTATCGAGGGTGGTGGAAAGAGGAATGGCTTCGAGTTGAAGACTAGTGTGTTGAAGGTTCTCACTGAAAGTCGACTGATTTTGCAGTTCTGCCATGCGCTCCAAATCGATGGAAGGGCGGGTGATGGCATTAATGCCAGGCCGAGAAAGACAGTCAGCAACTTGATTATAAAGGCCTTTAGGTGCGCACGGTAAGTAGGCTATCCGGGAAACGAAAATAGCAGTATCCCAACAGTTACAAACTAGTAAATAAGAACAAAGTCGTCAGCAGGTAAAAGTGCACTTGCGTGTGCTTTGTCTTATCCAAAGTTGTGTCAAAGCGTATTGTAACTGCTTAAAACAAAACGGACTTAAATGTCACTACAAGGTCTACGCTTCTTTGCATGTCCCCTTCGGAAGTGGCGTTGAGAGCGCAGTCATCGGTGAAGAGAAGTTAGTGTACGGTACGCACATATACACGTACGCACATGCGCATCACCTATCGACCTGGTCGATATTTGCGAATCCATCGCACTGGGACTGACGAACCGGTGACCGGAACACCAACAGACATCCATCGTACCCGCCTCTACTGCTCACTTTACCCCAAGACATTTGGCCATTTTATGGGCCCATCCGACCAAATGCGCCTCCGTGTGATAAACCGCGGTCCAAACTGCGTAAACACGCTTTGCCTTACCTAATCCCACGCAACTCTCCAGACTTTTCCTCAGCCTACTTCGCAATACCAACATAGACGCTACCAACATAACACTATGGCTCTCTTGGAGCAAGCGTACGATCCATTTTTCAATCGACATTATGGCGAACGGAACGTCGCATAGGAGTGTACGCGTATCCCACGTGTATTGGAGGTGTGCTCTTGAAGTATACTGGAACACGTATTTGGGAACAGGTCATGTCTGACACACGTTAGTGGGCTTGTTAACTCTGCCAGTCACTGCGTCCAATTCCATTAGAAGCTGGTTGACAGGCTCAGACAGCCGACTGGAGCATGGAAGAGGGAAGAGTGAGTGAGGACGACACGGCGGATGCCTTTCTTACGGTAAATCAGAGCAATCATCATTATAATAATCCTGACTTGCTTGAATCTGCCAGTACGAGCTAAGAGTCGGGGCTTGGAAGGTCCCCAACTGACCAGTTAACTCGGTTCTCCTGGGAGCATTTTGGAGCGACTGGAGGGCTGAGGATCTGGCTTTAGAGTCTCCGCAATGTAGACTTTATGGCATTCTCACCCATACGAGATCCGAAGTATTTACACAGAAGCCAGTTCGGGTCTCGTGCGTAAACGAGCCGTTCTCCTCCGCCAGCCATTGCGCTCGAGGCCACATCCGGTTGTCTTGACATTGGTAGGGGGCGCTCATCGATCGTTCTTACGGAACTCACTCGTTCCGTTGTGCCTTATGGGCTCTCTCTCGAGCTCAACCTGCAGCCGCACAGCGGCGCATGATATAGGCAGAATGGCATTACCGACAAAGGCAAGGGAGTCTCCCTTGCCTTTGTCGGTAATGCCATTCTGTCTTGACATTGTTTTCCCATCGAAGAAAGGTGGATGAGGGGAAAGAGAATGTGATAGATGCTGATCGAGTCCCCCTCAGCATAAATCATTTTCTGTACGAGGCACTGGCGCTGTGTCCACTTCGTGGTGGGATACGAAGGACGACGGATGTCATCGCCAATGACGGTCAAACTGTCGTCGTGTGGAGCTTGGACAAATTTCGGTAATAGAAATCCCGGGTACATGCGCGACAAGCGCTAGACCAGTGCGGCAGCGAGAGATCGACACCAATGTCATTCGGCCTGGCTGACGGACATCTCAGCCAGTGATACAGTGTTCGGGCCGGATATTGTGCACTGCATAGGGGATAGACGATCGCAAGTCTTTTATGACGGTGAAAATGCTGAACTGAGAAGTCAGCTTAAGTTACAGGTAGTTCGCTACTACTTATTTAAGACTTGCGCAGGATGAACAAAGTAAACAACGGCAATAAAAGACTGCAGTTTCGATCACAAATGCTGTATCTGACTGATTGATAGGGAACCTTGTGTGGACGAGGCAAAGAGGTTGTACAGACCAACCGACGGAGTAAGAGTAGACAAGCACCTGGTTGAAAATGTGCAGATGGGGAGAAAGGAAGAAATAAGTGGAAGTTCAAGGTGCCATAGCACGGAGGGGACGTGTCGAGACGCAGTGAGACGACAACACGAGGGTTCCCAATTGCAGATTCAGGGAAGAGGAAGAGTTACTAGACAAGCTTTAATGAGGCTGGAGAGCGAGCACGTGGTTCAGGTGTTCGCGCCTGCCTAGTCCAGTCGTTTTAGGTTGTTAGCTCCGACGTGGAGTGCTCGCGTGCGCCTGGGCTTTGCACGCCTGCAGCCAATTAGCGGGGGGTGCCGTGCCGATTGGCGATGGCCTCTCGCGCGCTGGTGCCGGTCACAGTGGTCCAAGCAGCGAATTTATTAGGGAAGTTAGGGGGACTGAAGACGACAGGGGGCGAGCGGGAGCACTGGAAACCACGGGAGACGACTATCACAGGCCCATGTCGCAGTCTTACTTTAGCACTTTTCACATCTTCTGGTAAGGCCAATCCTACCGGTTCATTAGTATAAGTTGTCGCTAATTCAACTCGTGGAGAGCGTGGTAAACGTCCGACGCATAGCCGGATCGCAAAGGTTCGCAATGACCAACCGAGCAGCTAAAATTTCCCTCCCCTTTTACGTAAGTAAATGTGGAGTTACTGTTCAGCTAATCACCTGAATGGCCCACGCCAACTGAGGGATTTTCTTTTCTGGAGGAATGCCTCGAAATTTACCTTTATTAACTGTCTTATGGCGGGCCACTTGCCCGTTAATGACGAAAACGCAGTGCGAACTTGATTGTGATACGAGTTTCGTGAGAAAGATCTGTTGCCAACAGCCATCGTGACTATTTCGGGTGTCCTTCTCCAAAGCCTCGCTGCCTCAGGGCCATTCACCCCCTGCAACGGGCCGTTCTAGACGCGCCGACCTGAAGCCACTCGATCGACTTCAGCTCGGACACGCCTGTGCACACATAGAGTCGCAGCTGCCCATGCGCCACTTCGACGCATCACCTTCCCCCTGCAATCCGCAATACAAGCCACTTGAACGCCACTCCCTGACAAATCAACACACCAACTGGATATCACTTCAGATCGTCCCTCACATACCTACAAAAGCAGCTGCCACCACTGTCTCACGGACTCTCAGGCATGACTGGACTCAGTCAACACCAACCCTGGCTTCGGCAACGGCCACTGCCGCCTGAGAGGACAACTCTAGGTTCTGTATTCAATAAACCCCTCATTCTGGTGATTTCTGTCTTTTCCTACAACTCGGGATTTGGCCTGATGATGGTAGCGCTCTGTGCGCACTCTCACCGATTAGCTGCCGCAAATCTGCGCAACACCGGCCTCGGTCTCTTGCGACCCTCATCTAAGTTTAATGGCGAGGTTAAGTCCACACGACTGGACATGAGATTGTCTCCCGATGTTTCAAGCTCATCTCCCACACTCTCATCGGTCCCTTTCTCGGCCCCATCTAGACTTCGCACGCTCGGTCGACTAAAGGCCAACGACTTTCAATTAAGATAACCGTAGGGCGCCAATCCTAGTCTCGTTGTCGGTTCTGGGAACCAGGCGTCCTGCCATTCAAAAAGCCGTCAGGTCCTACATTTTTAAAAAAGCTGACTTACACTATAAGTGAACGCTTGCTGCAGCGTAAATGCGGAGTGGGTGTCAACTTGGGTTAGCGAAATTAGTAACGTGTACGGTAGGGTTCTCCTAGGTGGCAAACTTCTTCTGGTTCCGCAAGCTATTTAACCTCTGCCACTCTGCGCCGCATGATGTAGGAAGCGGTACACTCAAAGCCGATCGCAATTTACATTTGGACGAAAAGCCGGGCGATCACTTCCGTTGTGAAGCAAGACAGTCATGTTCAGCGGAATAATACAAAAGACCTCGTTTAGCTAGAAAATTTTGACGGTCACGTATCTTAACCTAATACTGAGTGGACGCTAGTAAATAAAGGCGTCCTCGTCGAGTCTTCGACCACTCACGTAGATGGCCTCAGATTGGATCTCAGATGTGCCCGTACGATACCGCTTGTCCGCAGCGATGAGGAGAACTCAGAATGTTTGAAGCAGCTACACAACCAAAAAACGTACTGACTATCCCCACGAAGATCCATGTAATCATCCTATACATTCTTCGTCAATCCAGCGGGGCCCTCCGTTTCCGTATTTCTAGTAGTTTAGAAGAACAAGTGCTCAAGCATGTGGTGAAGACAGCGTATACGTTACTACCAAGGTTCCAGTTTAGAGAGACCGCGTCCTAGC